AGGGCGCGGCCAGCGGGAGCCAGGACCGCGAGCGGCCCCGGGAGAAGCCGCGGGGTGGAACGAGCTAGACGGAAACCAGCGGCGAGGAGATAAAGCAGGAGGCTGGCGTTGCTGGAAAAGAGGAGGCTGGGGCTTAGCGGCCCCCACAGGAAGGCTAACGGCAAACTCCTTATTCTTTAGGTAAAAAAAAATAACACAAGGATAAAGAGTTGAGTGAAATATGAGAATGGCCAATTCTTTAAGAGGTGAAGTGTTGAATCTTTACAAAAATGTAAGTGTCTTAAGCCCCACTGGCACATTTGCTTAGGTAGATAAGACCCTTTTGCTATGAATTACGTCTAAAAAAGAATCCTCTTTTTCTTGTTCAAGCTGCTGTACCTTGGAAGGGAATATCCCAAAGGAGCAGACTACTTCAGAAGCCGCTTGAAAGCAGCTTTCCTAAAAAACAAAGATGTCAAAGACCCTGAAAAAATTAAGGAACTAATTGCACGAGGAGAGTTTGTGATAAAGGAGCTGGAGGCTTTGTACTATCTCCGGAAATACAGAGCTATGAAGCGGCGCTACTACGACGACGACAAGAAATAACCACCTGCGAGGGGGCGATACAAATGGGTAAAGATTAACCCAATAAAGGAGCTGTAACTTCACAGGCAATGGAACGTACGTGCTTGCCACCCCCCGAAGGACTTGCAACTCACAGATGAGGCCCCTGCTACCCACTAAGTGATTGCTTGCAGTGGGCGGTGGGTTTCAGTTATATTGATTATAGTTTTCTGTCAACTCTTACTGTCCCTAAACTGGTAAATGAAAATACTTCTTTAGGAAGGAGGAGTAAAACAGGTCTGTTCTGTTTCACTTCAGCATAGCTGCTGAACAAGTAACTTTTTACATTTACCTGAAGAGCTGCTTCCTTGCACGGTGATCCAAGTTGCTATATTTCTTTTACATAGAAGATTTATGTGGTTTTGAAAATCTTCTGAGTTTCATGATTCATTTTCCCCCACAGATGAGCACTTTCTTCAAAGTAAAGTAGGTTCTTAAATATTTGGACAGTATGCCTAACACTTGTGGTCACTTTGGCAGCCTGGCAGACGTGCCATCCTGCTGTATTAAAAAGACAAGGCAGGGTCAGGAGGAAGATGAACATCCCATCTGCGTGGACCCTAAAGGCAATTCCTGCTATTCCCAGTTTCTGATGTGGCCTAACTACTGCAGCAAAAATATGAAACCTGATCCTGGTGCTCTCTCTTTGACTGCCCTGGCTCCACCAGCATAAGCTTGTGCTGTAACCACTCTTCTCAACACACTACTGAGTTCTACGGGGAAGAAAGTAAGTGACACCTGAGGTGGAAGAGAAATAACCTTTGAAATACAGGTAAGGAATCAGCTCACAACTGCTGGCATAGCAAATGTTTTTACACATGTAAATCCCAGAATAATAGCTGAAAAATTAAGGCAAGTGAAGAGAGTAAGCTACCTTGAGATGAAGTAAGTGAAGATGAAGCTTCTAGCACCACACTGATCCAAGAAATAGCCCATCCATATCAAGGGAGCTTATCAACTCCTCTCCCACGTCACCTTTAACCCACTTAAACGGGTTAAACTGTTAAAGAGTGTCCTTTTTATTTTCTGGAAGCTTCCAGAAGGTGTTTTACAGAAGCAAACTGCTGGTCCAGCTGGAGAAGGAATGCAGAATAGCCCCTCAGGCAACTTTAACGCGTGGGCAAGTTCAGATCAAGGCAGTAGTAGCCAAGGAAAAGGTCACTGTCCCACAAGTATGAGTTGTCAGTCCCTTTGCTCAGGCAAAGGCCATGGAATAGCCCAAGCAGGAAGCCCTGATGGGCACGAGGCACAACCGTGGGTGAGGCAGGGCTCTGCTAAGCACGGAAGGCAAAGGCGCAGACCCGAAGTGGATCGGATGGAGCATTTGGACAAAATGCTGCACCCGCTCTGAGAGGAAGGCAGAGACAGCAGCTCGGTGGGGCCCTCCGTTCCAGAGATGAGCACTGAGCTGCTTGGAGAGAAACGCCAACACAAACTCACAATAACTATTTTTTTTTATTACATTACAATAAATAGGAGCAGTACAGTTCGACAAAAAATGACAAATTCCAGATCACCTCACAGCACATACTCCTAGAAAACATTAAAATTCTTAAAAACAAACAGTGGTCTTTTTAATTTTAACTTAATGTCTGCTCTGACCAACATTCCTAGGTCACGCAACCAAATGATGGAAAAACTGGATCACACTGCATATGTTCCACATCAAATAAAGCACAATGTACAAAATGTGCATGTTTCAGTTTACACTATACAAAAATAGTTAAAATACATTCCAGGTAAA